AGATGTCTTTCTTGGTCCGTACAGAACTAGAACTCGCCGTCTCCTGGTGATTGGCCCAAAGTCACCCAGATGTCTTTCTTGGCCCGTACAGAACTAGAACTCGCCGTCTCCTGGTGATTGACCCAAAGTCACCCAGCCGCCTTTCATTCCTAAGGCAGAACTAGAACTCACTGTCTCCCAGTTTCTAGCATGGCGCCTTAACTTCTAGATCAAACTGGCTTTTCTCCACTGCACCTTATTTTGCAAATGTGGGTGTGGCAGGCCGCCATTCGTACCTTCTGAATATCCACCGGGGTGTGTGTTTGTGTGTGCATGGGGCGGGGGGCGGCTCTGTTCATCCGAACAATTCCAAGGACTTTGTCCCAAATTGCAACGATGTGTAGGAGGACAGTGTTCAAATTTGTGACCTGGAAACCCCCCCCCTCCCAAGGCATGGAGGGGCTGGTCAAAAAAAACCCCTCCCCCCAAAAAAGGTTGGTATGATGGAGAGATTGCTTTGAAAAATAAATGTTGATTGTTCTCTGCATTGGGGAACACTGAGGTTACACGAGGGATCTTTTTTTATTGTTTCCTGTGGCGATGGCTGCGATCAGAGTCTGCTGGTGGTTACAAATCTGATTTTGCACCAAAGTAGATGCAAATGGTTCTGCTTGGGCATGGGGCTGGACTAGAAGACCTCCAAGGTCCCTTCCAGGTTCTGTTCTATTCTATTTTTCTATTTTATTCTATTTTCTATTTTATTCTATTTTCTATTCTATTCTTTCCTATTTTCTATTATATATTCTATTCGCTATTCTCTATTCTATTCTATTTTTTTTCTATTCTATTCTATTCTATTCTATTTTCTATTCTTTTCTATTTTCTGTTCTATTTTCTATTCTATTCTGTTTTCTATTTTATTCTATTTTCTATTCTATTATTTTCTATTTTCTATTCTATTTTCTATTCTATTTTCTATTTTTTCTATTTTCTGTTCTATTTTCTATTCTACTCTGTTTTCTATTGTCTATTCTATTTTCTATTCTATTCTATTTTCTATTCTATTCTTTTCCATTTTCTATTTTCTATTCTGTTTTCTGTTCTGTTTTCTATTTTATTCTATTTTCTATTCTATTTTATTCTCTATTCTATTTTCTTTTCTATTCTATTTTCTATTCTTTCTATTTTCTATTTTCTGTTCTATTCTATTTTCTCTTCTCTTCTAATCTAATCTAATCACAGGGCCATTAAAATTAGGCACAACCCCAAAAAATCAGGCCGAGGGATTGCCATGGGCCATCCGTGCTGGATTTTAAGAGAGAAATCAATAACTAAAATGCCATTATCGTTTGTAAATGTCGGGAGGGAAGGCAAAGGAAGGGAAGGCAGGTAGCCCTCGACTTACGACCGCAACCGAGCCCAAAATCTACGTTGCTAAGCGAGACGGGTCCAGTGAGTTTTGCCCCATTTTACGCCCTGTCTTGCCACAGCTGATAAGTAATCCCTGCAGTTGTTAAATTAATCCCTCAATTGTGAAGTGAATTTGGCTTCCCCAACTGACTTCGCTCGTCAGATGTTTGCAGAAAGGGAGCATGGGACGCTGCGACCGTCATAAACACGAGTCATTTGCCAAGCGCACAGATTTTGATCACCTGACCCCGGGGACGCTGCGACCGTCATAAATACGAGTCAGTTGCTAAACGTACCGAATTTTGATCACGTGAACTCCAAGGGAAGCTGCAATTGGTCGTAAGGGTGAAACACGGTCGTACTGTCCCTTTTTTCCCATCCCCAATGGTCACTAAAACAGTGGTTCTCAACCTTTTTAATGCCACGACCCCCCAACCGGTCGTAAGTTGAGGACTACTCAACCAGTCGTAAGTCGAGGACTACTCAATTGGTGCAGCACTGTTTGCAGAATGGGACTTTTGGCGGGCTCAGCAGGGCAGAGACAGCCTGGACAATTCCTATTGGCTTTTGAAAGCCAATAGAATTAGACTCTATTCAAGAGAGTCTCTTCTGTTGGCTTTCAAAACCCAATAGAATAAAAGGGAGTAGCACAGCTAAGGAAAAGGGGGGAAAAATGGCGGACTGCGTTGTTTGGCGACCCCCGTGAAATGGTCATTCGACCCCAAATGGGGTCCCGACCCACAGGTTGAGAACCACTGTACTAAACAAACAACCGTAACTCGAGGACTTGCCTCTGTTCCCATCTCGGCCTGGGAAAATTTCCTCCGGCAAACCTGGAACGGGTCTTCTCTGGAACAAAACAGATTAAAAATAGAAAAGAGAATTTTTTTTCCATTTTTTTGAGTATTCTGCTGAATTAGAAGAACAGAGTTGGAAGTGGGATCTCAGAGGTCCTCTAGTCTGACCCCCTGCTCAGGATTGGTGCGAGAACATTGGCGCGAGAAAAAGGGAGGGGTGAACGTCTATTTGATCTGTATTTTAGAAGGGAGGGGGCTCCCTCCCAGCAAAATCTGGACCCTCCCTTAAATTTTGGATATTTTTCTCTCCACAGGTTGACCCCGGACTCGGTCACCTGTACAGAGACGGAAGCCGCCAATCACTGGCCGGGGGTGCCGGTCACTCGCCTTTCGCCAACCCCTCCAGAATCCTTGGCCACCGTCAAATCCCTGATCAAGTCTTTTGATTTGGGATGCTCAGGTGAGTGGACCCTACTAGCTTCCTCCTTTTACGACATAATAAATACAGATTCGTCCTCGCTTACCGACCAGCACCGACAACTCTATTGCAAAACCATATGGTTGTAAGGTTAAAACATCAGGTGACTTGAGTCACCTTGCTCCATCCATTCTCGTCGCCGTCGTTAAGTGAACTATTTGCAGTAAATACCAACGATGGACAGGCGGTCCTTGGCCTACAAGGCTTCGTTTAGTTATTCTGCTATCCTTCCTTCCTTCCTTCCTTCCTTCTGTCCTTCCTTCTTTCCTTCCTTCTTTCCTTCCTTCCTTCCTTTCTTCTTTCCTTCCTTCTTTCTGTCCTTCTTTCCTTCCTTCCTTCCTTCCTTCCCCATCACTGGAGGTTTTTTAAAAAGTGACTGGACAGCCACTTGTCTGGAATGGAATAGGGACTCCTGCTTGAGCAGGGGGTTGGACTAGATGACCTTCAATGTCTCTTCCAGCTCTGTTATTCTGCTGTCCTTCCTTCCTTCCTTCCTTCCTTCCTTCCTTCCTTCCTTCCTTCCTTTGCTTCCTTCATTCTGTCCTTCCTTCCTTTCTTCTTTCCTTTCTTCCTTTCCTTCCTTCTTTCTGTCCTTCCTTCCTTCCGTCCTTCCTTCCTTCCTTCCTTCCCCATCACTGGAGGTTTTTTAAAAAGTGACTGGACAGCCACTTGTCTGGAATGGAATAGGGACTCCTGCTTGAGCAGGGGGCTGGACTAGATGACCTCCAAGGTCCCTTCCAACTCTGTTATTCTGCTATTCCTCCCTCCCTCCCTCCCTCCCTCCCGCCTTCCCCTTTCTACTGCTTCTTCTTCCTTCCTTTCCTGCTTTCCTTCACTTTACTGCTTCTTCTTCCTTCCTTCCTTCCTTTCCTTCTCCATCACTAGAGATTTTCAAGAAAAGATTGGACAGCCACTTATCTGGAATGGAATAGGGACTCCTGCTTGAGCAGGGGGTTGGACTAGATGACCTCCAGGGTCCCTTCCACACTGTTATTCTGGTATCCTTCCTTCCTTCCTTCCTTCCTTCCTTCCTTCCTTCCTTCCTTCCTTCCTTCCTTCCTGTCGCTAGAGGTTTTTAAGAAGAGACTGGACAGCCACTTGTCTGGAATAGAATAGGGACTCCTGCTTGAGCAGGGGGTTGGACTAGATGACCTCCGAGGTCCCTTCCAACTCTGTTATTATTTCCATTGTTTCTTCTTCTTCTTTTTTTGCAGGGAGCACCGGGCAAAGCGTGCCCATCCACAAGGTCTGCCGGAGTCCACTCAGCCACATCCCCACCCGGACAGCTCCTGCGGCTGCTGTGTCGCCCATCCAGGTACCCCAAAGGGCGTCTCTGGCCTTGCAGAACGTCCAGATGGGAAGCCGGGTGTGTGTGTGTGTGAGATCCCTCCTTACAGCAGCTTTTCTTAGTCTCAGCAGGCTTTAAGACAGGTGGACTTCAACTCCCAGAATTCCCTAGCCCTCGTGCTTTTAAATGGATGGGCTTCTACTCCCAGAATTCCCCAGCCTTCCCCAGAAGTAAGGAAAAGAAAGGAAGTAAATGGATGAAGAAAGGAAAGGAAAGGAAGGAAGAAAGGAAAAAAGGAAGGGAAGAACTGGAAAGGAGAAGAAAGGATACGGAACGGAAGGGAAGAACAGGATAGGAAAGGAAAGGGAAGGAAAGGGGAAAAGGAAGCAAAGAAGGAAGGGAGAGAAAGTGAAAAAGAAGAAATGAGGGGAGGAAGAGAGGGATGGAGGAAGGAAGGGAGAAGGGAAGGAAAGGGAAGGGAGGGAAGGAAGGAAGATGAGAAAGACAAAGAGGAGAAGGAAGGAAGGAAGGAAAAAAGAAAAGAAAGGACGCTTGGAAGGAAAGAAAAAGAAAACGTATGGAAGGAAGGAAGGAAGAAAAAGAAAGAAAGAAAGAAAGAAAGAAAGAAAGAAAGAAAGAAAGAAAGAAAGAAAGAAAGAAAGAAAGAAAGAAGACGCTTGGAAGGAAGGAAGGAAGGAAGGAAGGAAGGAAGGAAGGAAGGGAGGGAAGGCTAAGATTTATCAGAAATGCATCTACAAGCTACAGGTAGGCCTGGACTTATGACCGGTTGCTTAGCAACCATTTGAACTTACAATGGACCCCCCCTCCAAACTACTTACAACCTGGATTCGAAATTCCAACCACCAGCCTCACTTCTCACCACGACATGATCATATTTGGGGCGCTGGCCCATATTTATGGCCCACATTTGCAGCATCCTGCATTCAGAGGACCATCATTTCCAAATATATATATCTTTTTCCCTGGAAACCGGCTTTTCCTTCCAATTTCTGGCAGGGGAAAAGAAAAGGCCATTACAGATCAAGGATTCACTTAATGCAGGAGTCTTCCAACTTGGCCCTTTGATGACTGGTGGACTTCAACTCCCAGAATTCCTCAGCCAGGCACGCTAGCTGCGGAATTCTGGGAGTTGAAGTCCACAAGCAGGGGTCTTCCAACTTGGCCCTTTGATGACTTGTGGACTCCTACTCCCAGAATTCCTCAGCCAGGATGCTTTAAGTCAGGGGTCTCCCAACTTGGCGCTTTGATGACTTGGGGACTTCAACTCCCAGAATTCCTCAGCCAGGATGCTTTAAGATGAGTCTTCCAACGTGGCCCTTTGATGACTGGTGGACTTCAACTCCCAGAATTCCTCAGCCAGGCACGTGAGCCTGGCTGAGGAATTCTGGGAGTTGAAGTCCACCAGTCATCAAAGGGCCACGTTGGAAGACCCCTGACTTAATAATTGCTGCAGTCCTTTAGGAACCATTGCAGAACAAGTTGCAAAATTGGATGCAGCCGCGTGGTGACCTGCATAAATTATGTCCTCTTTCTAGGCTTGATTGCGTTAGCAAGTTGTAGCACGACTCGGAGCTGGGGTTTCATACAACCCGTGTTGGAATTTAAAGGTTTCTGGCCATCTGGCTAGAGAAAAAAATTTTTTTTTTGTTTTGGGCAGTCCGGAAAATGGGGATTTCTGCTCTTTCTCCCTTGCAGAGACATTCCACTTTTACCAACCCCAAATCGGTGGGAAAGACTTTATCCAAACACACGGATCTTCTGGAACTGCCTTTGGGGGGTAAGTAGCTTCCATCGCCCCACTGGCTGAAATGGAAATTCTTATTTTTTTTTATTTGTTTAAAAAGATTTATTGAAAGTTACAAAATAAACCCATTTACCCTCCCCCCAACCGCCACCCCCCGACTTCCCGGAGCCAAATACAGGGTATTTCAAACATATTAAACATAATCTAATTAAGTTAACAAATATATTAATCATAAGCTAAACAAGTTTAACAATTTATACAACAATTAAAATCATACTTAAACCTTAACTCCCTTTAAACCTTAATAACATATCATAAACAAATCAGTTTATAATCAATTGTTATATAATAAAAAAAATTAATTTAAATATTATTAATAATACTTATTATTTAATCATAAAATAAGTGGAACTTTTCAGTTCCGTATTTAATCTTAATATAATCTATCCATCTTCTCCATACCATAATATATCTTTCTTGTGGTATGATCCTTTAAATAAGCAGAAATTTTAGCCATTTCTGCCAAATTAGAAACCTTAAATGCCCATTCTTCTAATGTAGGCAACGAATCCTTCTTCCAATATTGACCTATCAATAACCTTGCCGCTGTAATTAAATTCCACCTTAAAACAGTATCTTTAACATCAAAATCTTCAAAAATCGCTGAAATGGAAATTCTATACGAGGTGAAGGTTTAAAGAATCTGGCTTTAATCCTGGGAGAAAATCATTGACCCGTCAGGCCGAAATTAAAGGCCGCGCCAGGGAGACCAATTTAACCAGGCCACCCCGGAAGATTTGAACTGACCACGGCCAGGTCATCCTGTCCGTGGTTCAGGGGCTGTTAGGCAGGGAGTTGGTTGTTGTGTTGTAGTGGTAGTGTTGTTTTCTTCTTGGTAGGTCCTTGAGTAGGCTGTTGTTTAATGGAGCCACGTTATATAAAAAGAGAACAGACCCCCTCCTCCCTTCCAGCCCTGATGATGTTAGCTAGTTGGGTCATGAAATGTCTGCAAGGAAACAGCCAAGCTCAGAGAGCACCAGTGATATCACAGTCCTCCTCCTTCTCCTCCTCCTCCTCCTCTTCCTCTCTGCAAACCCCACTCTTTTGTAGCACTGATGATGTTACCTAGCTGGGTCATAAAATGTCTGCAAGGAAACTACCAAGCTTAGAGAGCACCAAGGACCCCACAGTCGTCGTCGTTCTCCTCCTCCTCCTCCTCCTTCCCCTGCTCCTCCTCCTCCTCTTCCTCTCTGCAAACCCCACTCTTGTGTAGCACTGATGATGTTACCTAGCTGGGTCATAAAATGTCTGCAAGGAAACCCTCCCAGCTCAGAGAGCACCAAGGACCCCCACAGTCCTCCTCCTCCTTCTATTCCTTTACCTCTTTCTCTTCCTTACCCTTCTCCTTTTCTTCATCCTCTTTTTCCTCCTCCCTCCTTCTTTCCTCCTCCCTTTCAATCCTTCTCCTTCTCCTCCTCTTTCTCTTCCACTTGTTGAACTACTTCCATTCTAGCACTAATTGGGTCATGAAACGTCTGCAAGAAAACCAACATCCTCTATTCTATTCTATTCTATATTTCTATTCTATTCTATAGTTCGATTCTGTTCTATATTCTGTTCTGTTCTATTCTATTCTATTCTATCCGGTAATTCTATTCTAATTCTAATTCTATTCTACTCTACAGTATATTTCTGTTCTGTTCTATTCTATTCTATATTTCTATTCTATTCTATATTTCTATTCTGTTCTATATTCTATTCTATTCCATTCTATCCTGTAATTCTATTCTAATTCTAATTCTATTCTACTTTACAGTATATTTCTGTTCTGTTCTATTCTATTCTATATTTCTATTCTATTCTATATTTCTATTTTGTTCTATATTTTATTCTATTCTATTCTATATTTCTATTCTATTCTATATTTCTATTCTATTCTATATTTCGATTCTGTTCTATATTCTATTCTATTCTATCCTGTAATTCTATTCTAATTCTAATTCTATTCTACTCTACAGTATATTTCTGTTCTACTCTATATTTCTATTCTATTCTATATTTCTATTCTGTTCTATATTCTATTCTATTCTATTCTATCCTGTAATTCTATTCTAATTCTAATTTAATTCTATTCTACTCTACAGTATGTTTCTGTTCTGTTCTATTCTAATCTATATTTCTATTCTATTCTATATTTCTATTCTATTCCTTATTCTATTCTATTCTATTCTATCCTATCCTATCCTATCCTATCCTGTAATTCTATTCTAATTCTATTCTATTCTATATTTCTATTCTATTCTATATTTCTATTCTATATTCTATTCTGTTCTATTCTATTCTATTCTATATTTCTATTCTATATTCTATTCTATGCTATATTTCTATTCTATTCTATATTTCTATTCTGTTCTATATTCTATTCTATTCTATATTTCTATTCTATTCTATATTCTATTCTATTCTATATTTCTATTCTATATTCTAGTCCATGCTATATTTCTATTCTATATTCTAGTCTATGCTATATTTCTATTCTATTCTGTTCTATATTTCTATTCTATTCTCTATTCTATTCTATTCTATTTCTACTCCACTGTACTCTATTCTGCTTCTACTATTCTACTCTACTCTACTCTACTCTACTCTACTCTATTCTGTTTTAAATTCCCCATCAGTCAGTTGCAAAAGGCAGCTTTACTCCAAGCACCTTATCTCCTGCAACGTGACCTTTAATATTATTAAATATCTGCTTATCCCAGGGCCTTGCAAAGGACTCAACAGGTGGATAAAAATGCCAGGTCCAGTCTGAGCATCTGGACAATTATGCGATGAACTGTAGGAAGTCCCTGACTTACAGTGGTTCATTTAGTGACCGTTCAATGCTACAACGACACCGAAAGAAGCGGCTTAGGACCAGTTTTCACACTTATGACCGTGGCAGCATCTCTGTGGTCACATGATCAAAATTGGTAACTGACTCATAGCTATGACGGTTGCATTGTCCCTGGGGTCACCTAATAACCTCTCATGACCTTCTGACAAGCAAAGTCAATGGGGGGAAGCTGGATTCGCTTTACGACCGTGTGACTAGCTTCACCGCTGCAGTGATTCGCCTAACAACAGCGGCAGGAAAGGTTGTAACATGGGGCAAAATTCACTTCACAGCTGTTTCGCTTTGCAACACAGATATTTGGCTCAATTGTGGTCATACGTTGAGGACTACCTGTATTATAATAATAATAATAATAATAATAATAATAATAATAGCATCAAACATCCACATCTGCCTATCCCAGGTCCTGGGTAAGGACTCAATAGGTAGACAAAATGCCAAATCCAGTCTGAACATCTGGCTGACTGTGCGATGATCCATAATAATAATAATAAATAACAATAACAATAATCACCACCTTACTTGGAACTGCCTATATGTTCTCAGTCGTTACCTTAATAGGTCTTAGGTCCTTGGTTAGGACTTGAACTGTTAAGTTTTTAACCAGTCCCAGACTGTGAATCGAATTGAAGATTAAATCTTTAATAATAATAATAATAATAATAATAATAATAATAAAGCACACAGCCAATAAAATGGGAGGAGTAAAAAATAATAACGAGGATAAAAATAATACTGCAGCCACGGCCCTATCGGTTAATATAATAATAATAGTAGTAGTAGTAGTAGTAGTAGTAGTAATAATAGGCACCTTGGGTGCAATCTCAAAACAACTGGAGCACCACTTGAACACCATCATCGGCATTGACAAATTCGCCATGAGTCAATTGCAAAAGGTGGCCTTACTAGGAACTGCTTCCATCCTGCGACGAGATCTGTAATACCATCAAACATCCACATCTGCCTGTCCCAGGTCCTGGGTAAGGACTCGAGAGGTAGACAAAAATGGCTGACTGTGCGATGATTAATATAATGATGATGATGATGATGATGATGTTGGAAGGGACCTTGAGGTCATCTAGTCCAACCCCCTGCTCAGGCAGGAGACCCTACACCAGTGATGGCAAACCTTTTAGAGACCGAGTGCCCAAACTGGAACCCCAAACCCCTCTTATTTATTGCCGATGCCAGGTGGGCGTGGCCCACTGAGTGGGCGTGGCTGTGGTGTTAATGGCAGACTGGGTGGGTGTGACCAAGGTGGGCATGATCACCTCGATGTTGCTCGTGGGGAGAGACGTCTGTGGGGGGCGGGCAGGGTTGGGGGAGATCCAGGGGGTCTCTGGCAGGTGGGGCAGTGGGCAGGAGGCTCGTCCTGCAGGGTGAGGCAAGGCGAGGCAGGGCGGGGGCGCCATTGTCGCAAGGCAAGGCGAGGCAGGGGCCAGGACGGCTGCTGCCTGACACCATCGGCCCCCGCACACAGAGGCCAGCGAGCGCAGGGGGGCTGGGATGCATCCGGCCATGTGTGACCTCGGCGAGTTAGAGGGCAGCTGGTTGAAGAGGGACGGTTGCCATCTCCGGAGCATGGCGTGCGTGCCCACAGAGAGGGCTCTGAGTGCCGCCTCTGGCACCTTTGCCATAGGTTCGCCATCACTGCCCTACACCATTTCAGACAAATGGCTGTCCAGTCTCTTCTTAAAACCTTCCAGTGTTGGAGCATCCACCGCTTCTGGAGGCAAGGAGTTCCACTGGTTAATTGTCCTCACTGTCAGGAAATTCCTCCTTAGTTCCACGTTGCTTCTCTCTTTGGTTAGTTTCCATCCGTGTATATATGTATATATATATATATACACATTAGGCAAAAAACAACAACCCAACAACCCCTTACTCTTGTATTTTATCAGCCGTGGGACAAATCGTGCCCCCTCCCTCTTTTTTCAGGAACGTGGGGAGGGGGGGAAATATAAATAAAATTAAATACAAAAATACAAAAAATCCCTCGTCCCCTCCTCCTCTCCTTCCTCTCCCTCCCAGATTCTTTTGCAAGGAAGCAGAGCTAAATTTTTGTGCTTTTTTTTCCTTTCCCATCTTCTCTCCTGCCAAAAGCTGGTGGCACAATGACAAATTTCAGAGAGGGGCC